GCATGAGATTGTATTTTCTTACACTCCAACGTTTTGAGTTTAATATCAATGTCGTACGCAACTTCCAATTACAGTCGGATCCAGTAACTTCCAACACTCTTTGGTTTTCATCACCTTTCCTTCTCATTCATATTCTCCATTCTTATTCATTATCCATTTACCATCATACAGAAAATATACAATTGTCGATCTCTCATCTCGTTCGTCTATAATAGTTGTAGAAAATATAAATACAAAATGCAGATCAATTAGACTATTCTGGACACAGTGACCATGTGACCATTATTACCATTTTTGACTATGTGACTATGATCATTACCATTTTTGACTATGTGACTATGTGATCATATGAACATAGTAACATGTGATCATTATTACCATTCGATCATTTAATTTAAATCCATTTGACCATTATTATCAATCCGACTATTATGGAGATCATGTGATCGTGTGACCATTGTGAACCTGGTACATTGTGACCATGTGAACATGGTACCATGTGACCATGCAAATCTGGTACCATGTGACCATACGAACTTGGTACCATGTGACCATGCGAACCTGATACCATCCGAACCAAATCTATGACAATACCATACAACAAAGGATAAAACTTCACAAACATCACCAAGTAGAAGAAAAGAAGTGGAAAAAACATAATTTTTCATCAAAATAACCCCCTACAACCATCAATGTATATGAAAAACAATAAGATTTTCACAGTTGATTATTTATTTCCAACTCTTCACTAATTTTTTACTGATTCTATTTTGATTTCGAGCGATTTTGATAAAAAAAAAAATAAGAATAGAGAGAAAATGCAGGAGAGAGAATGACCAAATTTGATGAGAGAGAGTGGCAAGAGAGAGAAACTCAAAAAAAAGAAGAGAGAGAAACCGAAAAAATGGAGGAGAGAGAAAAACTCTACATTTTAGGAGGAATATTTTTTATTAAAAAAATTATGTAATATAATATATTAAGGGTATTTTAGTCATTGTGTATTAAAAAGGGTATTATAGAAGTTGAAATTTTTTTTTTTCAAGAGAAGTGTATGAATGGATGTTCATGTAGCACATAGAGGGTATAATAGAAGTTGCCCCGTTTTAACGGATCTGGTGGCTTATTGGCCGATTCAACGGGAGCATCCCACCACCGCCACTACCACCGTCTAGACTTCCGAATCCAGCTGCTACCTCTCTCATATTTTCTATAGTGGGTGACGAGTTGTTGGACGAAATGGAGGAGATCATGAACTCATTCGACACTTGGACTATTCCGATCATAGTCTCGATGCGTAAGGGACATTATGGTAATTTTAATTTTAATGTTAAATAGTAAAATTTAATAAAAAAAATATTTAGGTTTGGAGTTAACGATAAAAAGTTGAGGAAATAATTTACGACAATAGTAATATCGAATTTTCCTCAACTCTATTATTGCTGGATGGTGGTACCGAAATATTTGAAACGTTCTTGGTGGTAGGGTGTGTGTCACCCGTATCCCGATTCCCGTAAACAGGATGCGTCACATGGACTAAAACCAATAAAATAATACCAAACAAAAATACGAGAATTTTAAAACTTTTTGAAAAATAGATACGCAGCGGAATTAACAACAGTCAAATCTCAAAACAACACATGTCCGAAGTAAAAGGGTCAACTTCTTAAATACCTGAATGTGCTACAAACACTTCTACTCCTACCCTTCTCTTAAAAAATAAAATTTCAACATCCAATCTACCCTCTTTTTTATTAGATTACCAAAATAACCTTGTAATATTATTTTATATTTAATTTTTAATTAAAAAAATATCTCCTAAAAAAACCCTAATTTCTCTCTCTTCTTTTTCGGTTTCTCTTTTTTTTTTTCGATTTCTCTCTGCTCCCACCATTAATCTCCACCAAACTTTCTCTCTCTTATGTGCTTTCTCTCTCTTTTTTTTTCTATTTTATTTTAAAAATCTGACGAAATTGGACGAAATTAAGGGTAAATCAATGAGACAATTAGAAACATATAAGCTACTGTCAAAATATCGGTTTTTTCATGTATATTTGTGGATCTTGTTATTCTTTTCTTCTAATTTTTTATGTTTTCGTTGTTTTAACATTTGTAATATGTTATAGTCATATATATGTATCATAGTATGTTATGACAATTCTGATTATTATGAAGGTTGTATTATTGAAGATGAAATTTTGCATATATTTGATTCGTATTGTGTTAAAACCTTTAAATAATATTGTGTTTGTACCATACCAAGATTGTATTATTGAAGATGAAATTTTGCATATATTTGATTCGTATTACACACTAATTAAATTGATTCACATGAGCCAACGTTGTGACCCATTGTGACCGGTATGTGACCATGTGACCGAAGTGCAATTTTATACTATGTGACCATTGTGACCGACTGTGACCCGTGACCGAAATATGTTGATAAATATATGTCAAAATTTAATTTTAAAGCTTTGGGGTGATTTATTAGAGTCTATATATCAAATATATATTGTGTGAGAAAGAATTTCAAAATATTTTAAGGGGATTGTGGAAGAAATATACCAAATTTGTCAAAAATACTCATAAAACATTATGAAACATATAGGAACACATTTGAAATAGCAACTTTGAAACCAAAAAATCGCAAAAATCATATTTTAATGTTCAAAACAATATAAAATAGGCTTATAAGAGATATGTGACGTAGGTTGATTAAATTGACAAAAATCGCATGGATCGAAGGTTGTGACCGGTTGTGACCCATTGTAAACAAAATATATTGTGGGGTCCACACGAAGAACTAGTCAGAATTTCACCAGATTTTTATGTTTTGTGGGGCCCATAATTATTGTTTCTATTTTTACTTTTAATGTGGGGTCTAGTTTGAATATTTAACCGCACATATTTTTCTTCTTAACCCTATATTTTTTCTTTCCTAATTTTTAACCCCAAATTTTTACCTGCAATATTTTTAACCCAAATTTTTTTGTAAAATATTAAAAAGTTCAATTTTTTTTATGAATAAAATTAATATATTTTGGTAGGTCTATTTTCACATAAAATCATCTAAAAAATGCAAAATTTTTTGTGATGCCTATTTTTTTCTCCACTTTGAATTTAAACCCTATATTTTTTTTCTCCAACATTTTAAACCCAAATTTTTTCCTAAAACAATTTCAACCCAGATTTTTCCCTAAAACATGAATAAATGTAGATTTTTAATAAATAAAAACCAAAAATAAAAGTTCGTACTATCAAACAAACAAAAAAAGATCATAATTAGGGTTAAAACAAATTAACAAAACACTTGGTAAAATAAAAGTTCATACTTTCTTCTTGTGAAACCTCTGAACCCTCCCATAGATAATATTGCAGTTGCCACCTGCTCACTGATCAGGGTGACATTATCGTCGTATATCAAGGGGCACAACATCTATTCTTTACCTAGACAAATCACTTCAAGTAGTTGTATCCTATGTAGGTGACAAGATGCTATAGAATGCGAGTTTAGAGTTCATACATCGTCTCTTCCATGTAGTACAAAATAAAATAATATATGTCAGCAATATCACCTATATATCACTGTGTGATATTGTGACCGTGTGACCGAGTGACCATGTGACCATGTGATTGAGTGACCATATGACCGAGTAAACTTACAATATCTATGATCCATATTCCGTCTGATAGAATATTTTCTCAGAAGTTTGGATTCGTAATGCATTTAGTCCTGACTTGTCCAGTCGTTTTTCTTCTGACCATGTGACCTAAATCACCCGGTCACCTGTAACCTTGTACTCTTGTGACCATTGCAATTATGTGACCCTGTGACCATGTGACTTAAAAAATCACGTGACCTTGTGACTTTGTGACCATCCAATCATGTGACCTAAGTGACCTAAAACACTTAAATCCAAATTTTTTCCTCTAAATATTTCAACCCAATTTTTATTTTCCATAAACAAGTTGAAATATATTAAACAACTACAAAAAATAAAGTTTTATAATTAGGGTTCGAACATAAAAAATAGTGCCGCAACAATAAAATCTGTTTAAATCCTGTTGAACATTTCAACAGATTGCATTTGAAAATTTCCGTTAAAAAGTTTTCCAATAGAATTTAAACAGACTTCCATTCAAAATTTCGTTTAAAATTTCTAATGGCATTTCCAACAGATTTCAATTGGAATTTTCTGTTGAAATTTTCATCGACATTTCAACGGAATTCATTTGTAAATTTCAACAGACCTCTTTTGGAAATTTCAACGAAATTCGATTACAAAAATCGGTTGAAAAATTCCAACGGATTTCGGTAAGAAATTTCAACAGATTTTGGTTGGAAAATTTGGTTGAAATTTTCCAATGGATTTCAAGTATAAATATCAACGGATTTCAGTTGAAAAATTCGGTCGAAAACTTCCAATGTAGTTTTCAAGGGATTTCAGTTGGAAAGTTCAATGGATTTGAGTTAAAAATTCGGTTGAAAATTCTGATGGGATTTCGGTTGAAAAATACAATGGATTTATGTTGGAAAATTTTGTTGAAATTTTCCAAAAAATTTCAAGGGGCCTAAGTTGGAAATTTTAGCAGATTTTAGTGGAAAATTTTCAACGGATTTTGATTTAACATACCATTCCAAAAATAAAGAAATGTATATATTTGTATTTTTATGTATGTGTACATACGTATATGTTCATGGATTGTCAGATGTAAGAGATGACAGGAACACAACAACAATCGATCTCTTACAATTAGTGATGGCTTCAACGGCTTGAAGAATTGTTTGGTTTTGACGGGTTTCGATTGGAAAATGGGATTGGCGAAAACGGTTTCAATTGTGGATAGTTGGAAGAAGTGAAATTGTTTGACAATGGCGGTTTTGATCAGAGCAAGCTCGTTGACGGTTGATAGACCGGTTTCAATATTCTCGATCCGTTCCTTGTTGGTTATACCACCGCTGGATGGTCCAGATCAACAAGAAAAAGAAGTAGGGCATTCCAATCAGAAGCAAAAGATTAATATAAGGGGTTTATCAGAAAATTATATGAAATGATAAAGGAGAGAAACAAACGGATCTCTCACATGATCCTACAGGAAAGAAAACCAAGCAAAAGCAGAGTTCAACTCGTATACAAATGGAAGACTGGGTCATTCCAGTTTTATTCGAGGTGGTGGAGGTCTGGCGGACGAGATGAGATGCATCAAACTGACGAAAGGTAAGCTTCCCTTTCGGTGGCTCTTTTCTCGTTCATCCTCTTGAACATCTGTCTCTCATATCCTGCCAGTAACCACAATCATCAGAATATTATGTTAAAGTTCATCGTTCGGGTGAAAGGTGTGTGTGGATATAGATTACTACATGGGGAGAGCTTACCGTTACTGCGATCGACTGTGTCCCAATGCCTTCCAGGGTTGATTCCAAATCGGTTGGGTGCAGCTTCCAGTCGTCTCTTTATCCAGCTGTGGTTAGGGATTTCTTGAGGTATTAAAAAACCCGACTCTTTCATTTTCTCGGAGAGCAGAAGGAGTTTTCTTTTTCTGAGAAACAAAAGCTATGGAATGTCAGCATAAATGTTTTAATACCTTCACCAGATGGTCAAGCTCTCACGTATTAGATACAACAGGTCACACAAAACAGGAAACAGTAAAAGTTTAGCCATTCCGGAGTCATCAACTATCCAACAAGATTTACTACCACTTGTCTTCCCCTCAATCAAACCCAATCGTAACACCCTCTCTTCGCTTCGACTCTTTTTTGTTTTCACTGCCAAAGCTTATTAGAAGAAAGTATAGTCTGCCTTCAATACCAATCAAAATCCTATATATTCACCATCTCTAGCCAAAAACAAGAAATCCTACTCGTTAACATCAACAGTTCATGAAAACATTACAAGCTAAATCACATGTCACCTAAAACTTTGCAGACGGAATTTAACTGAAATTGTGAACAACTGAGAAACCACGACGCGAATCTGAGAGACCAGAAACAACGGCACCCCTAACCCTCATCGACCAAACCCCAACCGAAACCCTAACTGGGCAATCTCCAACAACGAATCACAACACTTAATCCTAAAGACAAACCTCAGGCACACGCGGTGGACGATCGACAAGGGGAGGCAGGAGAGCTCGGCGACGGCGATGGGTCTGAGGAGAGATGTCGTCAAGTGAAAAGAATAGTTCGGCTTAAGAATAGAGAGACCTACGCATCCAATCGTTGGAATTTGGAAATATAACATTTTCATGAATTAGTTAATTGTTATTTTAATACAATATTACAAAAAGAAAAAGGAATCATACCAACCACAAAACAATTATAGAACCTTGGCATAATTGTCATGTTCTGAATTTTTTGAATTTCTAAACATTACAATATATACACAAATAAATACGAATTCAGCAATATATATATATATATATAATATTTAAAATAAAATTATTATAAATACATTAAAAATAAAAATACAATAAATATTTACAAATTCATATATATACACGCATATACATAAAATAATAAATATTAGATATGTATGTATGTGTATTTATAAATATTTATTTCTTACTATTTTTAATAGAATTGTTTTTATTTTTATTTTTATTTTTATTCATGTTAAATACATAAAAGAGATTAGTTAAAAGAATTCTGAGGAAGAAAAAACCAAGTGCAAATTTTGCTTGATGTCAGATTTTAGTATGTTTTCGTTACAGCGTGATCTTCCAACATTTTGGGAACTCGGTTCCTTTTTTGTGTTTTTACGGATAAATAGTCAGTACTTTCTAATCTCTTTTGTCGGCAATGGTTGAACACCATTATGAATAAAATCTGCACGTTGCATCGACATCGAATCTAAAAGCCCACCCTGGACTCGAGTGGTTGGATATTAAGCTAGTCTCTCGATTACAGGATACAGATTGAGGCCGAGGTGACAGCAGCAGGGTGTGTATCAGTAAGTCGAGTGGTCAAAACCAGCTTTCTGGATATTGAGGGCAAGGGTGTTCTAGACATCCTTGTGTGTTTTCTGTTGTGAACGTTAGAAGTTAGACCATAGGTAGCCTTATATTTTCCCTTTGAGCCATATTACTCTGTCGACAACATTTACCACTCATATCCAACTTTAAAGGGCCATGCAAAATAATCTCTCTCTTTCTTGGCTTCACATTTGAGCTTACAATTCATTTAAAGAACTTGGCGTTATCCAAATATAGAAGTTTGAGTTAGAAAGGAACCTGAGGCACTCTTCCATGAGTTTTGCAACTCCGCCATTGAAACCTCACGCTTTTCGGCAGCATTTAAGTTGTAGAAACAGGCATTTCATCTAAAATCTGCAACAACAAGACACACACACACAGTTGCAATTTAATCCTCACTCAGAATCTGAGATGTCTGGCAAATACATATCAGCTCCTCCCGGAATAAGCTATCATTCCGATTAGTGAAAAACCTGCCCAACAAATGGAAAACAAATTTGTGCAATACATAGCTTATTATATTCAGATTTCGGGTGACGAGCATCAAACTGGTGCTAGCAAAAGAGAATCTCCAAAATCTCTACAGCCCAAAGAAGGAATATGGCCTAAAATGCAGACTGCAAAAACAACAAATACCTTAGCAGAGGGCCAGAAAAAGCTCCTGTAATAAGATGCATGAGAGAGAGAGTTCCTAGAACAGACAAGTAAAGTTGATTGAGTGTGTGATGCCTAATGGCGTTATTCATTGCCGAATCTTGTCCACCAACATTGGCATGACAGCGCAAGAGAGAGAGTTCAAACAAAAGAAGGCTTTGCACAAGCGTGTATCTCTAACAGTGTAGTATAGAGTATGTGAAAGCCTAAAAGATCATGACAATGAAAGATGTTTCAAGTTTTGTGAAGGAAAAACAAGCAACGGGCGTGCCATCAATGTGTGCGGTCATCATATTTCCGGCCAAATTTAACCAGCTCGAGTTCCACCACAGTCTTTGCTGCTTCTGCAGATTCCGTCGACTCCTGAGCCAAATCTATGGCAGTCTTTATCTCCCCTAGGGCTTTTAGGCTAGCCTCTAATTTCTCATCTGCTTGGGTTTTTCTTGCTTTGATCTTTTCCATGTGAGCTGCAAACTCTCTGCGAACCTTCTCCTCTGCATCTCTGGCCTCTTCAACGTCTAATACTGCAAGGTATAATGTCTGGTGTGCTTCCCCCACTCTCTTCATATATTCACTGCAATGATCGACCCTAATAATCTGGCCAGAAAGCTGGATTCCATCCAAGTTATCTGGCAAGAAAAGAAATAAAACCCATCGACAAGCAAATCCAGGAGAACGAGTGGGCATGAGCCGTGGGGAGAGGGTTATACTAACCTACAGCGAGAAGAGCACTTCTTGGATCTTCATACGCAAGAAATGCAAAACCCTTGGACTTGCCAGTTCCCTTGTCTCGAACAAGGTTGATATCAACAATTTCACCGTATCTTCAAGTCCAGGGGTGAAATCCATGAAAAAAGTCGAGGATTAACTCGTAAACACCAACAATCTATCCAGAGAACTGATCCAAACACAAAAAATGCTCCGATACTGGTCATCAACGAAAGATTCGGCACTTACTGGGCGAAGACTCTGAGGAGATCATCTTCGGTGAGGCCGTAAGGAACGTCGCCGACGAAGACATGAGCAGAATCTTCGTACTTGGCGCGCCATGACGCTTCTTCAGAGATACCGAGATCTGCTTCCTTCGAATCGATGCTCTTCTCCGGCATTCTTCAACAGTTCTCTCTCTGGGATTTCAGAGAAACCGTCCCTCGAATCGAAATTCAAATTCGTCACAAAAAACCCTGTATTTATAAGGCCCAAATGGGATTCAGTATTGGGCCGCGCATTATTACCACATTTTATTTTGTAAGCTGCCATATTAAACAAGAGACAATTAATCCTTGTATTTCTAATCTCGTTTGGCTATTAAAATACTCGATAATTAAAATATCTAAAGTTATACATCCTCGTTGGGTTTTATTTAAATTTTTAGATGATGATAATTTAATTTCACTTAACAATCAATACAATTAGTTTCTTGAGAGAGGGACACTTGTCTCCTTCTATTAATAATATAAAATATTTTTTCTACAAATAAATTAATATATTAATTTTAATCTATCATTAATAAATTAATTTAAAAGTTTATTGATTTAATTTAAAAAAAATACAAAGGAAGTATACATCCACTGCATATCTATATTTATGTTTAATTAAAAATAATGACATATACTAAATCTAAACAAAGATATATTTATTTTTTTTTCATTTTATTTTGAAGAAAGTAAGATGATAGATTCGTCGATATATTTTGCTCTATGCATCCATCAACTGCATATCCATGTTTACGTTTAATTAGAAATTAATATTTGTAATGGGATATGTACTTCTTTTTTCTCTTGATACATCCAATTAAAAATAAGATACGTATGGACGTGTATTTACTTGATTTTTTTCTTTTTTTTTTCTTCTGTTTTCACTTATTTTTTTCGTGAGATTCATGAATTCTATATCTATATATGTGGTGAATTTTGCTGTGGGAAGACTCAATTGTTGCATACTGTGCGTGAGTTAAAATAAACTGTGAAAGAATTAAGATAAAATCGTCCGTGGGTACACATGTTTGTTCTTAGGATAGTAGACAATACTACTATTCTCAAATCATCCTTCTTGAATGTAAGAACACATAAATCAACTTTTGAAAATGGATCTTTTCATAAAGGTAAAACAAGTTTGATATGGTCGTTCACATAAAAAAAATCTTTTCGAATATCAAATTGGATATTACACAATTGCGTTCACGAATTACTGTGATGAGTTACAAATCGGATATATATATATATATATATATATATACATACACAATTGTGTATGATAAATCTGTGGAATGAACCATAGATTTTGTATATAAATATATGTATTGTTTTAAAAGAAATAATAGCAACTGTTGTATATATAGTGGAGCATGCAAGGTAAAGCAACGCATACTTAGGAACAGTGCTTGGGACTTTAGAAAAGCGAGGATGCTGAAGTGGTTGAGGCGTCCATTTCTATGAGCACTTGTTCCCGTAATTGCTTAATCAAAGTCGAACCTTTTTTCCATTTCACTTTCTCTGTTTTCTTATATATACACATATATATATACATATACGATGGGGATTTCACAAGTACAAAAACGATAAAATGGCACGAGTTCATGACCTTCCTACGGAGATATCTCCTCTCCTTTTATCACATCTACCGCATTAATTATCAATCCCCATCTAATCTTAATACATAACAATTAGTACAAATCCAAGATTGGATGGCTCAATCGGTAAAGATGGGGTAAAACTTTTTTTCCAATCTACGTTTGAGTCTCTACTTGAGAAAGATATTCACCTGAATTTTTTCGATTTTCTTAAAGACGTAGTTGGGTCAAAAACCCAATAAACTTTCAGAAAATAAAAAAATATAGTACAATTAATTGCATTCCTAATGACATGGGGCAATAAAGAGAGCAAATTTTATCATATCGCCTGCGAGTTCTTCTATTCTTTTTTATTTGTTATTATGATTATTATTATTATTATATTATTTTGTTATTAATAATATATTTTTAGTTTATTTTTATTAAATTATGACATGACATGATAATTTGACGGAATAAAATGTTTTGGCAGACCATCACATAATAATAATGTGTGTGATATGTATAGATTGATATATAGAATAACATAGTAATAAGACGTGTGATGTGTATAGATTGATATAAATATTCAACGTATTCAATTTAAAATTTTGGTTTAAAATTTTCAACGACATTTCCAACGGCATTTTCTACGGAAATCGGTAGGAAATTTCCAACGGATATCGGTTGGAAAAATCAGTTGAAATTTTCCAACGGATTTTGGTTGGAAAAAAATTCCAACGGAATTTCAATGAATTTCGGTTGGACATTTTTATTAAAACAATTCTAACAGATATTGGTTGAAAATTTGGATTTTAATTGAAAATTAATTGAAAAATATATTTACGAATATATATATATATATATATATATATATATGTTTAAATACATGTATTTTATATATCCCTATATATAAAGATATATATATGGTATATATATTGATATGTATGGTATATATATTGTGTATTTATACATACAAATATATATTATGCATATATATATATGTATATCGATATGTATAAACATATTATGCCTATATATATAAACACATGTGTATATGTATATATATACGAATAAGTATTTCTATATATATATATATATATATATATATATATATATATCTATAGTATGTATTAGGGGTGAGTTATGGTTTCGGGTTTGATTGCTAGAGGTATATTATTCGGTTCAGTTGGATTCTGGTTTCGGTTTTTGTTAAAACAATTAAGATTTGTTTAAGAAAGTTTCGGTTTTTGTGAATTTAATAAAGATTGATTCCAGAAAATTCGGTTCTATTAAAAAAAAATCGTTCAGATATTTTGAATGGGATGGTTCGGAAAAAATATCGAAATTTTTTGTTCGATATAGTTCGATTCCTCAGAATCGAACCGAAACGTCTACCCCTATTATATATAGTGTGTATTTATACTACAAATATATGTTATGCACATATATACTATAAATATACGTATAAAAATTCATACATGTATATATATATATATGTATATATATGTATGTGTATGTATGTATACATATATATATAAATATGTATATGTATAAACATTTATATATGTATATATATTAATGTTACGTAATATTAGAAGTTTAACTTTGAGCAATTGGAAATCGCTCCTCAGGTCTGCTCGCTCAATGCCTATTTTCTCAGCTTTTTCTAAGCTCAAGAAACAGTGGATAGCTCCATTATCAAACAATGTATAGCACTCAATACTGAAAAAATGAAGGGTACCTACGATAGCAACAACTTCCTCGAGATCGACCTCTTCCGCTTGGGTCTCTGTCTTTACTGAAAGGGCATAAACCCTCGGGGCTGCTCCAGTCCTCGGCGGTGGTCGTGGCGCTTTAGCCAACCAAATCGAGTTCCTAAGAACAGACATGTAACGACCCACGACCGCTACGAATTGTCGAACCTGCCCTCACACAGCAACCCGAGACCTTTCAGCGTGTTTTGTCCTCACTTGCACGCATACCGAGACACTTCCCAGTAGGTCACCCATCCTGAGATTGCTCCAGAGGCAGCACGCTTAACTTTGGAGTTCTCTCGGGATAGTCAACCATAAAGGTAGGTGCACCTTGTTGCTATGAGTAACTCAACTAATTCTTTTATGTTATCTTAGACCGTATAGTCCCATACCTATACAGCCCTCAGATCTCTCTCATTTTGGTGTGTTCGATTCAACCCTGTACCCCTACCCAGAAGCTCGTCAGGAGCCGCCCCTTGTCCGTGCCTCTGCACCGGCGATCACTCCCCGCCCTCCTACGGTACTCTGGGTTGTCACAAGACAAGTAAAGTTGATTGAGTGTGTGATGCCTTAAAACACAACCAAATCGAGTTTCGTAGCCTAACACGCCTATGATGCCTACAAATGAATGTGATCCTCGTCTAAATCCTATAAAAACGTCCTGGAAATATAGAGAGAATTAGGAGTTATCAAAACCCCCCAGACTTAAACCTTTGTTCGTCCTCGAGTAAAGAACGAAGGAATAAAATCTGCAAAACAGGGATGACGAACATCAAATAGCATCATCATGAAACTCAAAAGCGAAACAACCATCTAGTGCTAGCTTCCCGTGAATCGTACCCAAACCAGTCTACTATGATCTTTCTACCAAAGACTAATCTACCTAGTCATAGGACTTTTATTGCCACCTAGTGTTGGGTTTCCTGGGATCTCTAGAGCGAATCCTATTCCTAAGAGATCGATTCTAGGGTTTGCGCAGCGGATATAAAACAAAATTTAATAAACCCTAGAACCATGCAGGAAGAATTCGTCCGGGGCCTGTATCAACTGAAGAATTCGTCCGGTCACGAAAGGCAGGAAGATTACCTCGCCCTCTACACGTATCCACACCTCGGGATGGATTCCAACGATTGGAACTTGTCTGCTAGGACTCGAGTCTCTATTCGGTTTTTGCACTTCGAGAAAACGAGACTTAGAACTTGTTGAGCTTTTTGGATCTCACCAAAAACTCTCCAAGAACTGCAAAAGTCGGCTGCCCAAAGTCTCATCCGTGATTAGGGTTTTAATCTCCTTCTTATAAAGTGATTTTACCCTAATTTCGGTTCAATTACGAAAATACCCAGAGCCCAGAACGGACGGTCCAGAAATGCACGTGGATCGTCCGTTCCAGAAGCATAACGGACGGTCTGCGTTAGTGGACCGTCTGTTCGATTCCTTCTGGAACGGACAGACCGCGCACTCTGGACCGTCGGGTCTGGACTTGGTGGAC